GATCTAATTGACAGACTCCTCTACGCTGGTGAGCACCCTGTAAAAGTGGACGAATTAGCCTTCTTGGAAAGCAAAGTGATCAAAATAATCGGCCCATGAGAAGCACTTTTTGGATGAAGCCAGTCCAAGGCTGATCATGTCCCGCCTAAGTAGGCTGAAAGGTTTGAAAATCCATGTTCGACCAGACTTGGACCCAATAGACAGGAAGCGGCTTAAGTCTTCCATCATTGGGCCGAAAAGACGCAATGGTGAGGGGGGGGAATCTTCGTATCGTAAATTTTCGGGTGGTTTCCAACACTGCGAATCAGGATAAACAGGCTGCTCACACTTCAAGCACGCCTGGCGGGTTCTGCTGCGACCTGCGAGTGGCCTTCACAAACATTTGCAGTGTTATGAACAAGCGCGATGAGCTTTGTTGTTTCTTTGCGTCTGAGCGGGCAGAGGTAGTGGGACTCACAGAGACCTGGCTGCATTCAGAGTTATACACCCAAGAACTTGAACGCAACGGATGCTCGTGCTTCCGAAGCGATAGACTAAAGAATGACCACCATGGTGGCTTACTTAACATCCGGTCTTCCCTGCGTGGGAGGCTTGTGAGCACCTGCCAAATTGACGATGGTTTGTGTGAGCTACTTTGGTGCTCCATCCGCCTCAGGCGCGGTGAACTGCTTGTGGGCGCGGTTTATCGCAGCCCCATGAGTAGTTGTTTGGATTGGCTGCCCCATCTTCGAAAACACATGAGTCGTCCACACTTTCTACTTATGGAAGATTGCAACTGTCCGCAAATACGATGGCATGGTGTGCATTTGATGCCTGGACATAGTGAGGTTGAAGCCAAGTTCGCGGATTTGGTACTTGAAACTAGTGCATCGCAACATATATGCCAGCCAACACGCATAGCAACACGCTCCACCCCGTCCTGTCTCGACCTGATGTTAACGAGCTACGAACAACGAGTGCATGACGTTAGGATTCTGGATCCCCTGGCTACAATTACCATTCAGTGCTCATAGCTGACATAGAATTATCTTTTCCGTATTCACGTCCGTTGGAACCAGCTCCTAATTACTGGAAAACGGACTTCGATGGTCTAGCTCGAGCCGCAAGCCAACTGGATTGGTCTCTGTCACAAGATACATATGTGAAAGACTGTTGGATATTTATAAAAGAGTGATTGACATCATTGTGTTCCCAATTGGTGCCATTGAAATGTCGAAAGGTTGGCCCGATTAAGCCTCATTGGTTTGATAAGGAGTATGGAAACATGGCTCGGAGGCGGCGCAGATTGTGTGACAAATTCCTCCTCTCTGGCTCTACCAATGATTACGAAGGGTATAAATATCGGCGGAACCTCTGCAACAGTGCAAAAAGAATAAGCACCGACATTTCGAAGAGCAGCTCATAATAGCCACGAAGACCGCCCAAAAGAGAATATTTGCATACGTGAAGCGACGCCAGAAGCCGGCAGGTGATGTGTCAGTGCTGGATGGCCCGGATGGACAGCCCTTAACCTCCAGCACTGATCGTGCGTCCGCGTTGGCGGCGCACTTCGCTTCCGTATTTGCAGATGACCAGGTGTCTGTTCCGAGTTCGACGTGTACCGCTTTTACCGAACTCGACAGTCTGGATTGCGGTGTTGAAGATGTAAGTCAACTACTCGCCAACCTTGAGGACACCAAACGTGCCGGGCCAGATGGGCTTCACCCACTGGTTCTCAAATCGTTTTTGACCATCATCTCACCTGTCGTGACTGATCTTTTCAACAGGTCGCTGTCCAAAAGTTCGTTGCCGGTTGACTGGAAATGTTCTTTTGTAAAGCCTATTCCGAAAGGCGGCGACCCTAGCAAAGTGGACAACTACATGCCAGTTTGACTGACATCAGTTTTGGCAAAGATTGCTGAGAAAATCGTGAAGAAGAGATTGCTGCAGTTGCTACAGTCCAACAAGGTCCTGAGGCCCGCCCAGCACGATTTTATGCAAGGCCGCTCATGCGTTACGAACCTGCTTGTGACAAGGCATGAGTGGTTAGAGGCAATAAGCAAGGGGAAGTCCGTCGACGTGATATTCATCGATTTCAGTAAAGTGTTCGACAAGGTCAGCCACGAGGTTCTCCTTCACAAACTCGGGATGTGTGGTGTCTGTGGCTCACTGCACCGGTGTATCCGCGACGTTCTTGTAGGACGAAAGTGGAGGGTACGAGCGGACGACCATCTAACTGACTAGTACCCCTCTACAAGTGGCGTGCCTCAAGACACTGTGCTGGGGCCCACTCTGTTCCTGATCCACATCAACGATCTACCGCAGCTTCTCCGGTCGCCGTGTGCCTTGTTTGCAGACGACATGAAGATTTGGAGAGAAATTGACACTCCCGATGACTGGCCTACTTCAGCAAGACCTCAAGCGCCTATCCACATGGTCTGCAGTAGTTCTTCTCCTGATCAACCCAGCCAAGTCCATATTTATGAGTCTGGGGATGGGGGCTGACGGCCAACCGCTATATCCCACACCCTCCGTGAAGGACCTAAATGTATTCTCACGCTACGATTTGTAGTCCGTGGACAACACGAACAGGCTATATCGTAAAGGACTGCGCATGCTCTGGGCGCTCAAACGTAGCTTCGGTACATGGTCTGAAGAGGTTGCCACTCTCCTCTTTTCTTCCATCATTAGACCAATGCTAGAGAACGGTTCGCTCGCCTACTTTCCGATTACCCGAGGCGAGGCACAAAAGATCGAACGGGTCCAGCACGTTGCTACCAGGTTCATCCCGAGTTTACGTGGCTTGGGGTATGAAGACCGGTGCGAGAAACTAGGACTCTACACTTTGTCCTACCGTCGGGTGCGAATCGACCTCATTATGACCTACCGTATTCTACATCCCGGCGACATCCCCATGCTAAGACCAATGTTGCACTTACAAGGCCATGCAGCACACGCGGACACAGATACAAACTTGTCGTGCCGGATGTGAAATGTGTTCCCCATCCACTGTGGTTCGAACGGAGAGCGGTAAACATTTGGAACAGTTTACCTGAACATGTGATAGAGGCAACATCTGTGCAGCAGTCAAAACGTTGTTAGATTTATATTTTACCACTATTCGATTCAGAGAACGATTGCACACTTACGATGACATATCACATTTGTGAGTCCTGAAATATCGTGAGTCAGATATTTTAAATGTTACATGAGAACGACAACGATATTCACGGTTGACAACTTTTATAACGTTTTTCACCATATTTCGAAAGAGTTGTACAGAATTCATTTCTACTTGCTCTATAATACAATATTCAGTATTCAGCTTAATGTCTGCTGAATAGGAAAATTCTCGGAAAACACACTTGGACATAGCGTTTAGCTGAATTTGGTGTTTAGCTATTGCTAATCTGCATTAAGACTACATCATCTGACGTATTTTGTCAGGATTGATTGATTAACTTAAGTGCGAGACAAACTAAAATGATCGATTATTGGTTCCTGATGCAACGTACACGATATACCAACCAACAGCGTTTTACACTCGCTACTTTTCCCAACCAATACTTCAGTATGTTGACCTAATGGTCCAACCTATCCCACCGATAATATGCAATATCAACTATACCTACAGAGGACCAGGCAAGGTATCCGCTTAACCTTCTTCTTGATGAGGCATGATCATCTTTGGAAGAAACTACCGTTGCAATTAAGGACCAGTGACAGTTTTTCTATTCTTAAAACACTTAAAAAGCTTCTATTTACTTTTCAAATGTAATCCAACACTTCGACTTTCAGCAGTTCACGTGCACACGCACAAAATGCGGCCCGATAAACCTATGACAATATTAACTGTCGACTAATATTAAGTATTACATTCCTAACGAAACATAGTGAATGCACTTAATAAATGCAGCGATGATAAAATTCGCTGTACAAACGATCGTTCCATAAAAGGAACGTAACTTGCTAATCGGGAAATATGCCCATTTATTAACTGATTGCTTACACACTCCTATCCGGATCATTCAGATCACATCAGCCACTTTGTTGCCAAGCTCAGTACTTCTGAATTCACTTCAAAGCGATGGATTAGATCGGCCATCGTAAATGCGCACGGCTTCTCTTATCCCAGGCAGTAAATGTTTATATTTCCTTCAAGGGATAATCGAACGAAATCCTTCCCCCCCCCCCAAATGTCGGCTATACTTGTAGGTTAGACTTTTCTGTATTCATTGGTGCACCGCTTTCCTGCAAACACAGTTACCGAGCCAAATTGTTAAGCTCATTTGATATTTTGGATGGGAATTTACCTGACATGGCCTTCTGTGTTGTGGTATAGTTAGGAAAAAGGCGTGAAAAATTTTAAAGCGGAAATAACTGGGCAACTATTTGATTGCTTCTTGAAGTCCTAGTTCACTGCCTCCTAAGTTTCAATGAACTAGACACCGCAAGAAGCTGCACCGCTGCTAGGCAACCAATGAGGCCAGCGATGAACAAGTCGGACAGCGGAATAATTGTCCACCAGGCTATTTGCAGCTTAAGAGTGTTGGACCGCACGGTTTGGTAAGTGTACATAAAAGCAGAAAAGCTAAATTGTGTTTCCGGTGCATTTCTGTGCTTGGCCTGATACCTTACTGGCAAGGTATTTACTTAATAATGAAACAACATATTGTCAGATGTAGGAACATCAGCGTTCAATATTGTTCATGCTACCAAAACTCCCAAATTTTAATAACTGATTTGTATTAATACTGAAAATAAGCCGCATCTGCTGTTGGGGAGCGATGGGTATGGGTATTACTTGTAAACAGCTTGCTGATGTCAGCAATAAATCGGAATACTTGTAGCTCGGGTGATCTGTTCAGATTTTGTTCTGTTCTCCGAGCTGAACAGTTTCGTTGCAGACGTTTCATCACCAGTCGTGGTGACTTCCTCAGTGCGTTATAAGCAAACTGTTGTGTTTAAAAAACGGCCTTGGTGAGAAATGACAGTTTCTCTACTATCTTGGTGCATTTTAGGTGTTCAATTCACTGATTTGAATAAGGAACGTGAGATGGTCAAATGGGAACATATGAAAGCTAAGAACTACCTGCGCGAGCCATTTTCAAAAGCTACCGGTAAACGAGGCGTCGCCACGTCTCGTGCAGTTGTCTTTCGTGGTGGTGTTGCAGGAGGCCGCCCTGGGCAAGGAGCAGTTTTGGATTTGAAAAGCGAGATGCTCAGCGTTACTGAAGTAAACTGATGGGAAACAGCTTGTAGTTAATTCAGAACTTGTGGCACAAAAGCATGTATCAGGTGGTTCTGTGAAATTGTTCAAATGATCTTGTCAACCTTATTCCTTGAACATGCTTACAACAACTTTCAAGCAAAAGGCAAGTAAGTGTATAGCTTTGAAAAAATAATTTATAGCTTGATTCAAAATGTCAACGAATTTCAAGCACATTGGTACCTGAAGTTTGGAAGTGACAGTACAAGAGATCAACGAAAGTTTGTTCTTGACAATACAGGACAGGGCTTGTTAGCATCATTAAAATGGGTATTGAATCACTGACTAATTTTAACACCGAGGAGCTTCTTGCCAGTATCGATGTAGCGGTTGGTAAGTTGACCTCAAGATAAACAATGAATTACGCTACCTACCTACTAAGCACTTTGTTGTAGTAAGTTCTTCCACTTCCTGAATTTCTACGGCTAGAATTAACAGTAATAAACCTCTCCTACTAGCAAGATTTATTCCCAACTGAGGGGCTATCATCAGTCCAGAGAAACAAAATTGGAGTTTTAGCACGTCTCATTGCGTTGTAACAAATATCAAACTCAGTAACGCATCCAATTTAGCAAATGTACATTGGTTTTTGGTTATTTGCATATCAGAGACACAGTCGTTAATTAATTAATCCAGCAACTAACTTGTGATGGGCCGTGTTTCGTTGATCTGCCACCGTTACATGCTCGGCCAATCGTGTGAACAACGGTGACATCAAATCAATTAGTTCATTTTGTTAGATCATAGTTCATGTGTGGCGTTGTTTACATTTCCCAGTGAGGCTGGAATAAGTTGGGATCGTAAGCCAGTTTATTGATGGATGTTATCGTGCCATTAAAGAGCCCCATTAAGACAAGCCTTACGTTTAGCGCCTTTCCGAACCTAGGATGGCTGTCTAACCGAGTTTACCCAAGAAGTACCTTATCATTAAGAAAACGGATCCTCACACGTCTGTGCTATAGCAAGTGACAGCGCTTAAAATCAACGAAACAAACAGTACGTCAGTGCCATAGCAGCTAAATTATGCCTACAACTTGATATGCGACCAACCTCATGATTGTGCCGTTCGTTTTGCAAGTATTTACAGATCTACACTTCGTCTGCGAGAATTATTAAACGACTTGCAGCTCAGTTTAGGAGGGCGTGACTCAGGGGCCATGCTTCATTTTATTTTTTAAACTGCAAACTACTTATAACACTGGTAATTCATCCGCGCTTTCAGATTTTTGGTTTATCAGCCCTCATCCTTCAAGGCTTAGGCGTAGCGCTTGCTCGTTCTGTTAGCAACAGAATCGTTAGCGTAAACCACAAGCAGATCGGAATGAAATACTAACTATCATTGTCCCCTGGAGGACGCAGCCGGTTTGGTGATTCCGAACAATTTGGCGCGCTTTCGGCTTGACCTAACTGAGGGGAATTCCATCAGGTTATTCAGCAGTTAGTCGGTGTCCTACAAATGGGTTGACAAATGCAGATCCATTCCAGTCTGCTAAATGTATCCACCTGATCAGAATTTCCAATTTTCTCATAACCTCTGAACTATATCTGGTAGGGGACGTAACCCGTGTTTGTCCAAATGAAACCCCAGATACTCAACTGCACCACAAATGAAGACACATTTAGATTCCTTGCGTTTGAGTCCGCTACTTTGTAGGCGTTTCTAAATTGCTGCAACTGTTGTCATATGTTCGTTGTCGGTACGACCAGTAACCAAAATATCGTCTAAGTAAGCGCAAACCCCGGGGATGTCTTACATTAAGTTTTCCATAATTCTCATTAATATGGCCGACGCGGAGTATATCCCAAATGGTAATCGGTTATAGCAGAATATTCCCTTGTGTGCTTTAGTGGTATAAATTTCCTCTGAGGATTTCTGTAGCTCCACTTGAGAATAGGCGTGGCTTAGATCTAGTTTCGAGTAATTTTGTCCACCCGACAAAGTTGCGTACATGTCATTTATCCGTGAAATCGCATAATGTTCTGTCGTCGTTTGATTAACCGTCAGTTTATAGTCACCACAAATACGAACTGAGCCATCTCACCGCATCTGTAGCCAGCAAATGAATATTTGTTTGTGGGCGATAGCAGAGGTTTAACCGCATGGGCAGCACATAAAGGAGAAGCGCTTCGATACTGAATTAATCTTTGCACAACGTTTTCCGTTTGTCTGACCAATGAGCAGGCTGTTTCCCAAGTGGGTTTCTTCTCGTCTTCAGACAGCAGGCGTTCACTAGCTTTATCGTTTCGAATGCCAACCAAAAGTCGATGCACCGCCACCGTCTCTTCCAATTTCATATTATTCTCTAGTAGCAGGAAGTTAGTTGTAAGTTTGTCAAGGCTTTCATCTTATTAATTCACATGCCACATAGCACAGCCTAGTCCTGAAATGCCTCAGACGCGTTTCACACCATTAAGGCTAAAGATCAAACCCATGACCGCTAGAGGCAGATGTCAACTAGCTATCAGTTTAAGCCACTGAGCCATGGGGGGCGTTTCCGGAGCTAGATAATGTGCAAGCTAACTGTGGTACTGCAACACCTATCTTCCACTGTCACTGACAATAAAGTAATAGTAAATTAGATGACGCAAAATGACTAGTTCTACCCATGTTGTTTTAACGTTACTATTGGCAGACACCTTACCTCTACGAAAAACATATCGGCGCCCTTCATATCAATGAATAAGAAGCGATCTTTTGCACCTTACCAGCCAACGTGGAGAAAGAAGTTCATACTAAAGTCGTCAATTGTACGAGAAGGTGAAAATTAATTCGATGAAGAATGCTTTCCCTTAATATTAATGGGAAAATTCAGGAATAGTAACAAATTCACCACTTCCGCTGTTTTAGCAACACCATTTACCGGAGCCCCACCAATGGTTTATGAAATTTGTCATGTGTATGAAATTTGACATGAATTACAACGTTTCACTTCTCTCTGCATTATATCATTGTATTTCAAGCCCTATATTCTTTCATAGCGAACGAGAACTATCCGCGAACTGGAGAAACCGGCAGCTGGTAGACATTTGACATTTCTAAAAACAGGCAACCTCAAGCTCAGTCTATTAAATCCACTAGACAAAATTCTAAAGCATATCTTTAACACACTGATACTTGGTAACAACATTATTCTTTCAACTAATATGGCCGGCGCTAGGTATGTTCAACTACTGTTAGGGATCCCAATGTCAGACAACATTGGGGAGCCATGGCTCAGACGCTATATCTACCCTAAGCTTCTTGCTGGCACCGGCCGATGGCTACCACAATAAGTAGACACCTAGTGGTCAAGAGACCCAGGCGGAACCCTGGCTTAGTATTCAAACATGTGTCGTGCCAATGTAGTCAGCGCTTCCTTCGTTTTCCAAGGCCAGTTCCTTTAAAAACCGTTATCCGTTGGCGTCAGGCTGCCTTGAAAATTGTGGATGAGTTTTTTATACCACTGGATTGTGATCGCGACCTTACTGCTTTCAAAATACTTCTCCAATTTACATAAATAAATTATTTAACCGTTCAGAAACCAGTGTTCTATATCCCCTTATACTAAAGTTAACACACGCAAAACTAACTAAATATCCAATTACGTGCAGTACTTTACACATACGCTCATTCATATAATTAATAATATAGGTATCAACAACACGTCGGTACGCAGTACCGAAAGCTTGCTGCTGCGCCACCACCACTAGTCGCACTAGGGCTAAGGATACTGCAAGCGTCCCCCGGTCCCCTTTGGGTGCTCAGGCCAGAGCCCTCCAATCACAAAGCAGGCTGGTGTTCCTTTAGGCCAAGGGCTGGTCTGCATAATCTATTAGCAATGATCAAAATCGTTCGTTCACTCTGTTACAGAAGGTAATACATTTCTCTTAGTAAAGCTAATAATATTTTGGACCAAATTCTTGATTGTATACAGCCGAGCTTAATAACAACCAACATCTGCTATACAGAAGAACTCACGTTATCCGGCACACATTCCGCTTCCGCGAAGGCAGTCATGTACTTCGGAAACTCCCAACAACAAAAAATTTGAAAGGAACACAAAATTTAAAAAATATTAATTAGGATTAATAACGGAAAACTGAGGAAATTTAACTGTCCACTACCGAACCCAAATCGCACACGCACTTCGTGGCGCACCTGATGATGTAAAAACCACCGCTTTCTGTACAGTAGCGTGCTGCGCTCGGAACCCGTTTTGAAAGGAAAAGCTACTCCCTCTGTGCTTTCTATCATTTCTATCATCTAACCAGCCACGACTACATACTAAAGAGTGTGGCGGAGATCAAAACAGCATTCTTCTGACTTTGCATAACTGTCCACACATTTCCAGATGCTCCACCATTCTTTCACTTATAGAGCAGCCACTGTATGTAAGCGTATTCACAATAGTACACTGTCCTCTAATGCATATTTTATGACAAACGCTTCTTTTGCTTTCCCGAAGGACAGTACATCTTCTGTGAATTGTATTTGTCTTTAAAATTATGTATATTATTTAAACCAACCTACTTTCGTATGTGCCGTATTGGTGGAGGTTATATTTTGATGCTCAACGTGGCCGGTTTACAGCTACCATAGCCACTCTATCCAGAAAACCAATGGAATTGTTGAGCATGAAATGTACTTAAACTGTTTACTTCCGAATGTCGATGTAATGTTGAGCGGCGTTACATTGTAAAGCTTACACCTGTTCTGGCACATACGTGTTGCACAAAAGTGCTTTATTCTGAAATATCTTTAAAATAAAGCTCTCTAACTGTGCCATAAATTACGCTATATAATAAGTTAATAAGCCTATATTCCCTAGGCGAGCGAGCAACTGAAGAAGCTAACCAAGCGCACCTCATTCGCTTTAGTTGTTGTGTACGTTTGCCACTTTCTAAAAAACCTATTTTTTGTAGCTACAATTTTCATTCACCTACCATCCACCGGAAATGGTGGACCGAAAGCCGTATGATGTCAATCAAATTCCATAGCAGGCGCTGCTCTGCGAAGAACAGGGAATTTGCATTCGTTGTCTGGCTGTCCAATCGGAGCTGTGTGTTTAGGCGCAAAGCATACACTTGTTTACCTCGGACAGAAATTTATCTCTGCTCTGATAACTGGTATCCCACAGGTCAA